TGATAGCTGAGAGATGAACCCTCAGGGTAGAAATTGAAAGGCCTGCTTGATGTAAGGAGAGAATGTAATCGAGAATGTTGTGCATTGGTGCAGAATGTGGTTGAATGCCAGTTTCTTTGCAGCAAGCAACGAATCTTTTCCATTTCGCCAGATAAGAATTTCTAGTGGTTTGTCTCCTGCTGTTTAACAATGAATGCTGTCTTTACAGCTTCTGAGCAAGATTGCTCCTCTACCCTGAACCAGCTATGAACCATGCCGTCAGGTGAAGACTTTCTGGTCTGGGGTGAAGCCGTAATCCCTGATTCTGGGAAAGGAGGTCTGGGAGGAGCGGTAAGGGCCACGGTGGTAATAGGGACATTCTGTGGAGGAATGGATACCATGTCTGCCTCGCCTAGGCTGGCGCCAGGAGTATGATCCGGACTGCATCCTCCTTGACTTTCTGTATGACTCTTGGGATAAGCACCGTCAGTGGAAACGCATAAAGCAGGGGTGCTTCCCAAGGAACTAGAAAAAGCGGCGAGGAGTCTAGAAGTACATCTCCCAGAGAGCCCTTTCCCATACCTCCCCTTGAACAGTAAAGATGACACTTCCTGTTTTTGTAGGTGGTGAACAGATCTACTTGAGGTATTCCCCAAGCTTGAAACACACTGTGCAAGACATCGGGGTGGATTTCCCACTTGTGATCCTGAGGGAAGATTCTGCTTAGAGCATTCGCTGTGACATTGCTCGCACCTGGGAACTAAGATGCCACTAGAGTGGTATGGGTTTTTATACACCAGTTCCATAGATGGACTGCCTGCGCGCACAGTCGTCGTGATCGTGTTCCTCCTTGTCGATTGATAAAGTACATGGCCGCTATCTTGTCGGTCAGCACTCGGACAGTTGCACCAGCTATCTGTGGGCAAAAGTGTTTTCAGGCAAGAAACACAGCTTTCAGCTCTAGGAGGTTGATATGAGACAGTGCCTCTGCTGCTGACCATCTGCCCTGTACGAAAGCATCGTTGATGTGTGCTCCCCATCCCAGGAGGGAGGCGTCTGTGGTCAGTTGGGTCGACGGCTGCTGACATTTGAATGGAACCCCTGCAAGTAGGTTTTCCGGGCGCAGCCACCAGTAGAGGGACCTTCGATCTAAAGGAGTCGGGATTACCACCTTATGCAAGGAATGTCTCGTTGGAGTGTACACTGAGGCCAACCAGTGCTGGAGACAATGAAAACAAAGTCTTGCATGTTGGACCACGAAGGTGGTGGCTGCCATGTGCCCCATCAGATGGAGACAAGTAAGTACGGTGACCGTAGGAGCATGGATGACTTGCGTGGCTAGGTCATGTAACAGTTGGAAGCGCTCTTGAGGTAAGTATGCACGGGCCATGGTGGAATCGAGCCGTGCACCTATGAAGAGTATGGCTTGCGTAGGGTCTGGAGACGACTTCTGCTCGTTGATGATAAGGCCAAGCGATGTGAATGTCTGTCTGACTAATGCTACCATGCACTGGACTTCTTGCCTGGACCTGCCTTTTATGAGGCAGTCGTCCAGATACGGAAATATGATTACATCCCTGCACCGCAAGTGAGCCGCCACTACCGCCAGGGAAATACCCTTTGAAAATACCCTGGGAGCAGATGCAAGACCAAACGGTAGCACTCAATATTGGAAGTGATCGTCGCCTATCGTGAAACGGAGAAAACGCCTGTGAGCTGGATGTATGGCTATATGGAAATAGGCATTCTAGAGGTCAAGGGCCGCAAACCAATCGTCCTTCTCTAGTGACGGCAGTATCTTGGCAAGGGTCACCATCTTGAACCTTTGACAGCGGAGGTATTTGTTTAACCTTCTTAGATAGAGGATAGGCCTCCATCGTCCGTTCTTCTTCTCTGTCAGAAAGTACTGTGAATAGAAGCCCCACCCTCTGAACTGAGGAGGTACGGGTTCTAGGCTCCTATGGACAGCAAATGCTGAGCCTCCTGTTTCAGATGGCTCTCGTGAAAGGGGTCCCTGAAAAGGATTGGGGTTGGTGGGTTTGTGGGTGGTATGGTGGTAAAGGGAATGGTAAGCCCAGATGCCACCAGCTGTAATATCCAGCAGTCTGATGTAATTGCTGTCCATTGGTTTTGAAAAGGTTGAAGTCGATGGTAAAAAAGATTAATGCCTTGATGTTGTTCCGTCACAGTAAGGGGTTGTTGCATGCCCTCGACCAAAGCATTAAACTTGCTGTTTGGGATTTTGTTGGTTGTTGGAACAGAATGGCTGGGTTCTCTTACATTGCGGAAACTGTTTCTCATGTGATTGGTCTATGGCTCGGTGCTGATATTGTTGATATTGTCTTTGATAAGGGTAATTGTACCTCTTCTGGTAAGGATAATATTTTTAATGGCGAAACGGAGGTGTGTACATCCCCAGCGTGCGGAGTGTGGATCTGGAGTCTTTCCCAGAGTGCAGGATTTTGTCCGTCTTCTCTGCAAATAGTTTGTTCTTATCAAAGGGAAGGTCCTCAACTTTTGCGTGGAGTTCCTTTGGTACTGCTGCGGAAGCTAGCCAAGATGAACGTCTCATTGTTATTGCAGTTGCCTTAGTATGGGCTGCCGTGTCTGCTGCATCCAAGGAGATCTGCAAGCCCACCCTAGATGCCGTAAAACCCTCTTGCACTAGGGACTTCAAGAAGGGACGCTTCTTCTCTCGAAGGTACTGGAGAAGCTGGGAAATTTTTTCATAGTTATTGAAATTATGGTTTGATAATAAGGCTGCATAATTGGAAATACACAGGAGAAGGGTCGCCAAAGAGTAAACCTTCCTGCCAAATGTGTCCAGTTTCTTAACATCTGGCGTTGACTTATATTGCAGTGTCTTGGCTCTTTGTTGTGCTGCATCAACCACAAGGGAGTTCGGCTGTGGGTGATTGAAAAGGAACTCCAGGTTCTTGGCCGGGACAAAATATCTCTTATAGGCCTTCTGGCAGATTGGTGCTACCGATGCCGGTGTTCGCCATATAGGCTACGTCTGGACTGGCCAATATGGAATAAGAGATCCTCCGGAAAAGGGCTTTACTCCGGAGGATCGCGCCAGTCTAGACGCTTTTTTTCCGGCTTTTCCCCAAGCCGGAAAAAAAGCGGCGGACATGTTTATTTAAATCCGCGGGGGATATTTAAATCCCCCGCGGATTTCCCTATGCTGACTTACCTGATTTGCATCCCTTTTCCGGAATTTGTGGCCAGTCTAGATGTAGCCATAGTGTTCGCTGCCTCCATAATGGCTTCATCAATTGGTATGGCTACCTTTGCACTCTGCCTGGGGTGCAAGTTTTTCAGTAGTCGATGTTGCTTCGTTTGTGATTGTGCTACCTTGGGATTGAGCCACCTGCTTGAACAGGTCTTGGAATTGTTTAAAATCGTCCTCCGGAAAAACTGCTCCATTACAAGACGAGGGTGAACCATGATGAACTGGATTCCCAGACTGATGGTCGTATTCCTCAGACAATTGACCGTCTTCAAGGTCTGAGTGCTGTGTCATGTCTGTGCGACTGCGTGATGGGGACACCAGACAATGGTCACAGTGCTGGTGTGGTGAAGATTGCCTTGCTGACTGTGGGTTGTAGTAGGAGAACTGCTGATACCCATAATGACAAAGATGTGGATGTGATGAGCATGGAGAAAGGTGGTGATGGTCATAATAATGATCCGATGGATGAGGAGAGGAACATCTGGACGATCTATTGCTGGTGTGCCGCCTCTCATGTGTGATGTGCGGAGAGTGACAACAGGACCACCCATGTGGTGGAGAGTAGGATGGGCGTCTATAATAGCAATAAAGGTGCCCATAGGGAGAGTCCCACCTGTAATAGGTATGATGTGTGGGACTGTGATAACGATAGCCATGGCGTAATGGTGATCCATTCGCTGCAGGTGAAAAAGAAGGACCCGGTGAGAATCTCGGGGAAGGTGAGACGTTAGTTTCCTGCCCCCAAGGAATGGATGGCTCCCCCTAGAGCTGTGTATCTGGCCCCCGCTGCTGCTCCGGTGCCGGTGTGCTAGTCAGCTGCTGCTGCTGATTATAGTCCGGTGCTGGGGCTGGCTGTAGTCGAGAAGCCCCAGATTGCAGCTGCGACCATGATTGAAGGAGTGCTGGTGCCAGGGGGGTTTCCCCCGGTGCTGGCAGCATGCCCGGCATTGAATGAAGCTCTGCAGCCGCCTGTCGAGGGAAAGAAAGCGGTGCCGGCGTGTTCAAGCATTGCGCGCCGCCTTTCCATACCGCTGCAGGCTTCGGTGCCGGCAGAGCTGTCAGCTGTGTTGCCGGCGCCAGGAGAGTGTTTCGCGGTGCTGCTGCCGCCTGCGCAGCTTTTTCCTGGGCTTTTGAAGATCAGTGCAGTGCCGGCTCCTTTGCCAGCACCGGAGCTGTCTCTGCCCCAGAGGACATTTTGCCAGGCACCGCAGGCTTAACTCCCTTTGTCCCCGACCTTGAGTGGAGGGATCATGGGACCGAGCCAGGGGCATGTTGATCCACCACCATTATTTCAGATGGAAGGGATCTAGCCGGGGAGATTCTTTTCCGTTTCTCCCGCAGCTCAGGGGAGGAGATCCTCCTCTTAGGGGTTCTCCCCCATTGCTCAGAAGTTTCTGCATTGGGGTCCAGTGCCCTATCCAGGAGAAACATTTTTAATGTCATCTCCCTGTCGCAGCAAGTTCTTAGAGCAATGCCCACACCTGTGGGGAGCATGACTTTCCCCCAGACAACGAACACACAATGAATGTCCGTCTGAAATTGGCATTGGCTCACTGCAGTGAGCACACTTTTTAAAACCTGGGGATTCAGGCATAATCAGATACTGTTCCTTTTCAGAGAACAGTTTTTTTTTCCAGCTGATCAGCGGGTTGTAACAGTAGGGAGCTGCCACAAGCTGGAGTTTCCTTAACAAGTCCTTTCTTGTTTGTTTGTTTGTTTGTTTGTTTTAAATAAGAACAGGTAACAAGTAAAAACTACTAACTATATACACTTTAACTAATTACAGGTTCCCTGAGGGAAGAAATTGTTGTAAGGAGAAAGACAAAGAGAGAGCTCCGTCTGCGCTCAGAGACAGTTGAGAGGAACTGACAGGGAAGCCGGGTGCGCGCGAAGATCAAATGGCGCGAACGGCACGTGCTGTATACTGCGCAGGCGCACCCGGCTGGAAACAGCTATGCAAAGCCTCCAAGCTGCGGTGCCAGGACAAGCCCGACACCATGAGTGGAGCATCCACGGGGACCACTCGAAGAGGAAGGGGAGAGAGCAAACAGAAAACATGGTTCTGGAGAGAATAGTTATCCAAAAAGTACATAAAGCATCTTTGAGGAGTTGTGCAGTCGTACTGTGGAATGTAATGCAGTAACAGGTATTGCACCAAAAACATCTGGATTATATTAGCAGAGAAGGAAATGTAGGGCCACCATCTAAGTTGATGTCACACAAGCAATGCTCATTTACATCTCTTGAGCAATGCTGATTTACATGAGCTTAGGTTGTGCCCAACAGACTTTGCTTCCCAAATAATGTTGCTGGTATAATATACTATATTGAAAAATATTTTACAAGTCCTCTATACTAAATACTCTTGGCATGTCTATAGCACTTATAATTTGAGGTTCTCATGGCACTTTACAACCATGAATTTAATCAAATTGCTCAGATAGGTATTAACCCATTTAGCTGTTGAAGAATCAGAATATTGAGAATGCAACACAAAGCAGCTGTAGCGTAATGGAAAATCTAGATGTTATTGAATAATAAGCACATTTTGTGGCAACAATTCTTTCTTGAAGCTTGATTCCACTAAAGTCTAGGGAGTCATTCCATTTAGGCTAGGTCTATGCTACAAAGAAAAGTTGGGAAAAGATACGCAAATTGCAAAGTGCAATTTGAGTATTTTTTTCTGCTTTTCTTTTGAAAGAGGCTTTTTCAATATTTGCCCGTCTACACAGGGCCAATTTCAGAAAAACCTCCTCTTTCGACACATCCCTTCTTCCTCATACAATGAGGATTATAGGTATGGCAAAAGAACGTGTCCGCTTTTTGGGAAATTGTTCTGAAAAAGCGGACGTGTTCCTTGTACTTGGCATAGGTTTTCCAGTATCCCGGACAAGCTCTGCAGTCTAGACATAGCTTTATACTAACATGCTTTGGTTCAGTGCTTGAAAGAAGATCTACTTATCAGGGTTAAGATCAGATCTAAAGATCCTTGTCAGGCCTCATGCATCTTCTATCAGGGATTCTCAAACTGTGAGTTATGACTCTGTATTAATGGGGTTGCTGGGGCTGGCATCAGACTTGTTGGGTCATGGGGAAAATCCACAAAGCCAAAACCCAAGAATTCCAGTCCTGGGTAGCAGGACTCAGGTTACCAGCTACCACCTGAGGTGCAAGGATTGGAGTGGGCTCAGACATGGGTCCCCCCACCTGGAGTCATGTTGTAATTTTTGTTGTTAGAAGGGGGTCACAGTGCAATGAAGTTTGTAAACCACTGTTTATGTGATTCTAACTGGAAATACATTAAACCTCAGGGAATGATACACACAGTTCAAAAGAGGCTAAAGGACTAGGAAAAGGTTGTTACTAAACTTTCCCAGATAGATTTCTATAAAGCATATTAGTAATGGATGACACTTGGAAACAAAATTTATATTATAAATTTATATTTAAGTACTGCAAATGCTATGCTGTTCAATAACTGACATTGCATATATCCATGTACTATTATCAGCTCATCAGTATGTTGTTTGCTCTGTTCTGTTTTTAGCAGACTTTTCCCTAGTGCTCAATATGACTCTTCTTCTTTATGTTCTGAAATGATCTCTTGTAAAGCATTACTGCGGTGGATTTTTTCATCACATGGGTTAATAAAATGGGGCAGTAACATGAAGTAATTGTACAAAAGGTACATTCTCACAAGCAGCTTGTGAGAATGCACTGTGAAGTTAAGTCCCACATAGGTATCCAGTTTTACCCGACTCAGGGAAATTACCTTGGGTTGGTTTGTTTATTGCGTTATACAAGTTGCTAATGTCTCCCTGGTTACACAAATGGGTTTTTTTTCTATATATTGTTTCTTTTCACTTTAAGTGTGCAATGAGGTTGGTAGGTGTCTTACTGGTCTATTTCTAGCTCCTTTCAGACAGATTCTAAACACATACTAAAAAATGAAAGAGTTGGAATATGCCCTCCCCAAGGTGGCTGCCAAGTTCCACTCTGAGTTGATGTGAGGTAGTCTATCAGTAGCTGCCTTTGCAGTACTATTTAATAAAAATTATTTCAATTTAGGAATATTCAACTTTCTGTATAATATGTCAGGCAGAATGAGACTTTGCAAACTTAAATGAAAGCTGAATGTGCTTTGTCTTGAAATGTAAAAATTTAAAATCTGGACCACAGAACAAAATCAAGGAACAAGGGCAATAAAGCTGGTATTTTAGCTCCCTGGTAGATTCTGAAATTAATCCTGGATGATCACTGGTCTTGTCTGCATCTGATCTGTGCAGGATTAATACATTAAAACAAATGCAGCAAAATATGCAGCCCTATATTCCCACATAAATGTCTCAAATGCAGGCCAAGGCTCAGTCAGATTCTGTCTGGGCCACTGTTCCTTCTCAGTTCTGTTAACATATCTATTCAGGTTAGTATTTCTTATCCAGAAAGATGCCATAGCATTTTCCAAGGAGGAAATTATTATGATGATTTCTTTTCCTAGTAGGGAACACTTACCCCACAGCTGTGGGGTGAAACACAGCAGATATTGAATGACTCACCTCTCCACATCTAATATCAGAAAGGAATCTCTTATCAAGCTGTTTTTTTACAGGGGACAACCTAGAAGGAGTTCAACTGGCCAAATTACACTTTGGTTTGGATACTTTAGTGAACATCTTTTGTTTTGTGCAAACTTCAAGGACATTGTTTTACTTGCCATCTCTAAGAAGGCCACTCCTGTATTGAAGTGTTCCTGCATACCCAGTTATAGCACTGGATCAGCAGTGATGCTCAGGGAAGCACTCTCATGGACCATAATGCCACTTTCTGAATGCAGTACTTGGGTTTCTGGCATGGGTTTATACATTCAGTGCTGGCTTGGCACCCACGAAGTTCCCACTATTGCTGATGGGCAGTTTCACAGCAGCTGGGAAAATAAAAAAGCCAGGAAGCAGCAGTACGAGGTGGATGCCAGAGAAGTCAGGAGGCTGAAGACAGAAATACCTGCCAGCAAGCGGCTAAGAAACTGCCTATGGGAATGATGACTGGGCCTGTAACCGGGTCCATTGCTCAGGGGTCCTGGGGCGCCCCCAGTTCACAAGCCCGAGCGGCGCTGGGTCCTGGGCTGTCCCTGCTCCCGGCCTCTATCTCACCGCTCCCACGGTCTTCTCCTCTTGGTCGGCTCCCCGAGCACGCGGCTCCTGCCGTCCCTGGGATCACCGGCCTCCGACCGTCTGTCCGGCGTCTGCTGCCGGCCCATCCCCCCGCTCCCTGGTCCGGCCGCCCGCTTTGGCTGTTGGGATCCAGGCTCCGTGCGCCGTGCCGGCTCCTGCCGGGTCTCCCACGGGCCCTGTGGAGGAGGCTGAGAGCGGGACCTCTCCTGCTCTGTCCAGTCCTCCCCCCTCCCTGCTCCTCCTGGCCCCCTTTTGAATTCCCCGCTCGGCGTCTGGTCCGCCCCTCACCCCCCCGGCCGCCCCGGGGTCCTAGCGCCGGCTGGCTATCGCCCCAGCCGCCCTGCGCATGCGCGTCGGGCGCGCCGGTTTCCCCCGGCCCCTCTGCCGCCGCGCCGGACTCCCGGTGCCAGCTGCTCATCCCGCTGGGGTGCGGGGCTTCGGCTCCGGGGGCCGAGAGTGCGGGGGTGAGTCCTCCCGTCACAGGGCCTATAGGTTGAGGAAGCCTGCAGAAATCAGGGGACATGGGAAAGAGCTCAGGGCACATTAGGAGGAATTGTTGAGGCTTGATTCTGCCTGTCTAGTTTAGGGGCCCTGATCTGGAACCCAGTGGAGTAGTGGGTCTGGGTTTCCCTACTGACCTTAGGAGACTCAAGGGCTGTTATTGTTTCCAGCTCGTTGAGCTCTAGGACCAGCTGACCCCAACAACTAAAAGGGAGGAATCCTGCATACCCCATAATTGTAAATCCCAGAGATAACACTGCAAATCCCAGAATGGGGCTACCCTACAGCCCAGTGCAAGTGGTGCTGGCTGCCTGCATACCCTGTCAGATGGAGTGAGCTCTTATACAACACTCCATCAAGCCCAAGGGAGCATTGCCACATCAACATACAGTGTCCAATCTAAATATTCACACAACTGAATGCTGTTTGGCCTATGGGATCACATGACAGCAGAAGGACTTCATGTGTTTCTCTCCTTCTGGATTAATAGGTATCTTCTCTTCTCTGTAGCATCTTGGGGGGGAGCTTTGATTTATTCTTGATAATTTCATCTTATTGCTCTGGGCTGTGATTAAGTCAGCATATCACACACAAACAATTGTTAACCTTCTGCCAGCCACCATGTGCTAAATCTTGTGTTTACAAAATAGTAAAGGGTGCCTGTCAGACTGCCTGTCTGAGAACTCCATAGAAAAGAAAGGGAGCCTTTGTTTTCCTTTTAACATGCATCTCACTTCTCCTACTGAATGTCTTCCTTCATTTCTAGTTGTATTGCTTTGCCCACCTTATTATTTGGAAGCCTAGAGTGCTACAGCATCTGAGCAGAAAGGGGAGCAGTTCTTTGAACTAACTACTAAGGAGGGGAACGCAAATCCCCGCATGGGCAAGTAGTGGTGTTCTCATCCTTCCGTCATTTCCTCCCCCTTCCAATAGCTGTGGTTTCAGGGATCCCTAAACAAACCAAGATGGCCCAGGGATGTCCAGAATCCCCTATGGCTATACATGTCTTGGAGGGTCTCTTTTCAGACAAGAAAATGGACACTTCAACCAACCAGCTTCTCATGACAAACTCCAAAGGTGGGTAGGCACAGATGACATGCAGAGAGCACAAAACCACTCTACAGTAGCAGATAAAGTTCTCACAGCACACTGCCTGAAGAAGGTAAGCAATACCTGCCCTGATAGTCCCACCAGCCACAGCTATCACCATGAAGTTGGCCCTACAACTTTTCTTGCTGCTTAGTGTAAAGTAGGCAAATCTAGTCAAATCTAAGTATTTTATCTAGTTTGAATATGTTCTTTAGTAATACGTTTATGCTGTCCAGTGGTCAGAAGTATTAGTGTATTAGAAATTGGTGTGTATAAGAAACATTCATACGGCTGCCTAGTAAAGGAAATAGGATTGTTTTCATAATACCTAGGACATATTTTAGCAATAATTAGTGGTGATTATACAAGGTTATAAACACTTTCCAAATGCCAATGAACACCCAGGCTGGAAGCAAATATTTAATTAATGCCATAGCACAATCTTATTTGTAGCCAAGTTACTTAAACAAGTTGGCTACGTCTACACTGGCCCCTTTTTCGGAAGGGGCATGCTAATTTTGAAAGTGGGAATAGGGAAATCCGCGGGGGATTTAAATATCCCCCGCGGATTTAAATAAACATGTCCGCCGCTTTTTTTCCGGCTTGGGGAAAAGCCGGAAAAAAGCGTCTAGACTGGCCCGATCCTCCGGAATAAAGCCCTATTTAGGAATAAGAGATCCTCCGGAATAGGGCTTTATTCCGGAGGATCGCGCGTCAGTCTAGACACTTTTTTTTCCGGCTTTTCCCCAAGCCGGAAAAAAAGCGGCGGACATGTTTATTTAAATCCGCGGGGGATATTTAAATCCCCTGCGGATTTCCCTATTCCCACTTTCAAAATTAGCATGCTCCTTCCGAAAAAGGGGCCAGTGTAGACGTAGCCCTTCAGACAGGAGAGCCACTGCTCTAGCCACTTCTGCAAATATTTTGTTTGCAGTAATAAGAGGTCTCACATGCTACAAAAAGTTAAACTGACAAATTTTAAAAGAGGCCCCGTGGCAGCCTCGCTATAGGCAAAACAAAACAAAACCCCAAATCCTTTCTCCCTTTCCTTGGAAGAAAACTTACATTCCACGCCCCCCTCCTGCAAAGAGCAGATCAGTCAGGGCAGACTATATAGAGCTCAGGGGATTGAGTCCCTTTTCAACCTTTTTTGCATTGTTTATGAGTTGGGGAGTCAGTCCTGGCCCAGTCTCTTATGTTACATGTATCTGGATAAAGGATATGAATTTGCTTTTCACTCTGTAGTTACGTTTTGATTAAATCATCTCCTCTAAAAGTATTTGTGTGGATAGTTGTGACAGGCAAATGGAAAATTCTTTTGTCTCTGTGGGCCATCACTGTAGCTTTACCACTGTTGTAATCCAGTCATATCTGCAAACTAAGCAGGTCTGGGTTTGTTCACTATGTGAATGGGAAATTTCCCAAAAAGTGTGTACCCAATGTGAGATGGTGTTAGTGTCAATCACTATGGGGAACTTCCCTCTAAACTAGAACACTAGCATGGTGTTCAAGAGTACTTAGCAATTGTCAGTATGTCTTCCCGACCATGTATGATTATAGATCTTATGGTACGTTTTGTAAGAATTAGAGTTAACTCTGGTCCCTTGACCAAAAAACTACTATGAGTAAATATTTTACCTAAGCACTTCTAAGAATACAGGTTGAACCTCTCTAATCCAGAACTCTCTCGTCCAGAAACATCCATCGTCCAGAATGATTTTAGTTAGCTAGATGTCCATTTTTTATGGGTGTGGCCAAGTTTCCCATGGTCCCATAAAGTTTGTTTATAGCCACCAGTCCTGGCACTCAGTGTCCTGTGCTGTTATTCAATTTACACTTGAATGTCCTCTAACAGCACAGTAAGCAGTAGAAGTGTTGGTAATGCTGTTAGACAATATTGACCTCCCGTGGTCTAGAAATTCTCTTGTTTGGAACCTGTCAAGTCCTAAGGGATCTCGGCTAGAGAGGTTCAACCTGTTGTTAACTAGTTAAATCAACTAAACTTATTTCCAACTAAACAAAAGAACAAACCAAAATTAGCATGTCATATATATCCCAAGCATATGACAAAATGCCTGGGAGCTACCTGTGTCAACTGTGACAAGCTGTCCATGTGCAGCAGCTCTCCAGAATTCAAAATATGGCCTAGTATGGAACTCAGCATTGCCATAGGAATGTTTCATGTACACTTCTTTGTATAACCATTCTAAGCGAAGTAGCCACGCATACAATAATCTGCTTCCTTTTGGGTTTAGTAATCTGTTGGAATGATTTAATAAGCAGAGTAGTTACAGATGGGCCACGTGCAGAATGGAAATAATATTCTATTCTGTAACAATATCAAGTCCCATATAACGGTGTGTTTGACCACCAGAAATAAAAAAGATTAATTTCATTCAGTCTCCATAGCTATTACTTCCTGTCACACAGCTAGCCTCTGCAGCCAGCTTGTTCCTTCCTTTTAGATAGCATGAGAAGATCCCTTCAGAGTCTTTATATCATTATTGGCTAGAGCACTGGGTTTTCACTATTGTAAACTGCCCAGCTTTGGTGTGTCTCCTGTGATCTCTTGAGGGGCCCGATTAATGTTGACACCAGGCCCCTTTAAAGCAGTGTCCTCACTCTAAAGAAACCTCAGTGTCAAGACAAATCCAGCACTGAGTGTCGAAATAGCTACTTCAGGAGTGATATTTAATTGTCTCCTAACTTGCTTCAGCCCAACGAATACCTGTGTTGCCATTTATGTAGATATTTAATTGACTTCTATGGAATGTGGAACTCCAACAGGTGTGTTTGACAGTGGTGAAGAAGATCGTAATGGGATTATAGGTGGGGCTCACGTCATTACCTATTAAGGTTTCCCATTATGAGATTTTATTTTAATTTGCTTATAACTTTGTGACAGGGCCTTCCCTATGCTTTATGAAAATGTGCTAGAAAATGTTGTATGCAAAATAATCCTTATAAGGTATCCTTGGAAAGCTTGTAATCTACTGAATGTGTGTTTTCTATTTGTATGCATATATCATTGCTGAATCTGAAATTAGGACTATTGACTGTAGATTTATGATCAGTGTGTTCATGTTGTGAAAAGCCTATTACCATCCCATCAGGAACAACATTGAAGAAGCCAGACACAGAGCCCATCAATAAGCAATAAGTGAGTGGGTGAGAACTGCCTTCCTGCAGATGCACTACAAAGATGTGTCCATGTCACCTGATGTTGGGATCCATCTTGAATTTTGTACTTTTCCACAGAGCTGTGGGGGAATTGAACAAAGGCTTCTTGCCCTAGGAAAGTTCTATATAAGGCAAGGGAAGTAAACAGTGATTGTTGTCAGCTGGCTCTGCTTCCCACCACCAGTAATTATGGTGGGAGAGGGTGGTCCCACCCCTTCCTGCAAGTTCCCTCCCCTGAGTAGAGCAGCTTGGAACAAAGCATGTTGGGGCTTCAGGTTCTTGGGCCTGATTTTTCAGAACTAAGCACTCACAGCTGCAACTGAACTCAGTGGAAGCTTTGAACATATCAAGTGATATATAATGCTAAATGCTCTGAAAAATTAGGTCCTAGGCATCTCTTCTTAGGTACT